ATTTAAAAAAAATCTGTACAAAGTTACACATAAGATTGTCATTTTACAGGGCCAGTGACAAAACTTTTCAAATGCCCACGTAATAAAAAAAAATTATGATTGATTTATTTGCAGTCAGCATAGTTTTGTTGTTTACAGCAAAACTTTTTCCTGAACCAAGTCTACAACAACCAAATTTGCAACTGGGTACAAACTTGCGAATCTTGCTCCCTCCTTGATTGCATTGAAAAATATTAAAGTCATCAGCAGCACAATCTGATTTTTTTCAAAATAAAATCAATGTTAGTAAAAAAAAAAGAGGAGACGAAAATTGAAAAAATATGAAATAGAAATAGAACTTATTTACTCTTCAATTCGAAACCACAATAAAGACCCCCTTGAGCACCGGAAGGACATTTACAGGCAGTTTTAGGAGTGCAAACAGAGAATGCACCAGAAATGAAAGATGATCAAGAAACCCAAGATAAAAATAGAGTGATTCATTTTCATCTGTTAGTTGTAAGAAATTTTTTTTATGATTTGATTTGATTTGTTATTATTTTTTTTAAATGTGAATTTATTTTTGAGAAGGGAATGTAGCCAATGACTGTATTTAAATTAAATTTCCTTCATAGCAAGCAAATTCTCTTCTTTTGCAATTATGTAATTTCTTTACTTTATTACGATGCAATTCAATTAAAACTTTGTGAACAATCATTGTGTATAGAACAATTTTTATGCACGTCTTTAACAATCTTTATGTAGAAAATTATTTATTAGTTGGCATTATGTTATGTCAATCATAATAAGCGAGAAATACTTACGTCAGGTTCTAAATAACGTGTTTTTAAAAAATAAAGATCTCCTTTATTATATTTATCATCTTTTCCAAGAATATCATTGGTGTAATAATGTTAATACTTATAAGGTTAAAATTAATGGGATCATGCAGAATTTTTTTTAGTTTCATGAATTAATGTAAATTGAAAATTGAAATTAAAATAACTGTAACGTTCACCAAAATTGGAAAAGAAGAGTAAAATTTTTACGTCAGATATGTAAATGGAATCTGGTCACCAGAAAAGTACAGGTACAGGTAGTGATTGGTGTAAAAATTATTTTGAAAAATGTCTAAGTTATTAAGTACTTGATAACTCTATTGGTAACTAGTGATGGGCGTAAAAATTATTTTGAAAAATGTCCACGTTATTAAGTACTTAATAATTCTATCAGTGACTTATTAAGTGCTAAAAACACAAACGTGCATATCTCATATTGGTATTTGAATCAAATATTAATTTGATAAACAAGCTAATAATTAATTTAGTGTGCGGAATGTGCATGCTGACCAAATTTGACAATTATTTTTCCAAATTTGCTGAATTTGATTAACACAGCCTAATTCTATACACTGGTATTGATTGGCAAAATGGATCTTTTGGATTAATAACTCTCACTCAGAGTGCAACAGTTAATAAGTAGTTATTAACTATTTATAACTTGGAGTTAATAAGTGTAGGGTTAAAAATTCCCATCACCAGGTACAGGGATTGACAAATTCCACCTGTACCCTGTACCTTTCAAGATTCGCCCTTGAAAAGTATAGGTGAGCAGTACAGGTGGTATGTGAAAAAGTAGTACAGAAACCCTTGGTACAGGTGACCTGGACCTGTACATATCCATTTTTGGTTTTTTTTAAAAAAAAACTTGAAAAGTACAGGTTGGAAAATAAATTTTTTTTAATATTGTTTTCATTTTCAGAAATCTAGTTTTTTAAAAAAAATCAGAACAGTAAATGGTAAGATGGCACTTATTTTACTGTAATTGTTTATTTAGATCTACACATAAATATCCGACCACTTGTGTTGTGTAACGTCAAATGAAAAAAGTCCTTACTATAAAAGTAACGTTTTCTTAAATAAAACCTTTTTTACTTTACTAAGTAGACTTGTACTTGATATCAAAATCTCTAAATTACAAAAGCTTCGAAAGGTTCGGTATGGTATTAATGGAAACATTTAGCAACTAGTCCAAAAAAAGCAAATTTTCAATTGGAATCATTACATGTAATAAAGGTCAAATTTCTTCATTGTAATGTATACTATTTCATTAAGAAAATGTGTTCAACGTAACAGATTACATATATTTATAATATGGTGTTGGCATAAATTAGTTTGTGAAAAGGGTTTAAAAAAGTATCCCGACCCCGTAATTTTATTATATAAAACACTTAATAAAGTTGACAAAATGTAAATTTTAAGGCTTTACGTTTTGTTGTCTATACTTGATCAAACTTTAACCATATATAATTCAAGATATTTTAAATGGACTTACTTAATGACGTAATCCATGGTTCAACGGAGTTTTGAAGGTTTTTAGTAAGCTCAAAGTTTTTACGGAATTTTTTGTCTAATTTAAAGTTTTCATCTCAAATTCATTAATAATGCAAACTCGACAAGACTTTAAGTTTATATTGCAAATTAACTTTAAAATTATGTTTACTTAATGCAACAGTCCCGGTTTAATTAATAAAATTTTGAACTGCATAAGGCGTAACATCTCCGATTATTAAATGATCATCAAGTGGTCGGATATTTATGGTATATTAGGCAAAGAAACTGGAATCTATTCAATTGTTTGATTGCATTTTTGTTTATATCTATGTTAGGTGAAGAACTGGTGAGGAATTAAAATATATTCAATTGTTTTTTTTGCATTTAAAAGGTTAATTGATTGTAGAGCTTGGATCCAGGTACTTATTATTATCCGTTTAAATTGTAGCAATCTGGATATCCTATACATTTAAAGTATAGAAATCCGGGTCCAAGCTCTAATCGATTGTTTGATTTCATTTTTTTATTTAGATCTATATTAGGCGAAGAAATTGATAACGGAATTAAAATCTATTCAATTGTTTTTTATTATTAGATACATGTTGGGAGAAGAAATTAGTGAAAGGAAAATATATTTAATTGTTTATTTACACTTAATCAATTTGATTTAGTTTAACAATTTGGATGAATCAAAATTATTTTTTTTTGTTGGCCAAAAATAAATTTGGATGGAATTTAAAAATATAATTAGAATAGTTTTTATTTGTCTGACATTGTTTTTTTTTTAAAAACGCTAATTTAGAAATTTGGATAATTCAGTTTAATATTAATTTGGTAATGATCCCAATCATTAATTGAATCAATTATTAAAGATATGTAAAATATTAACATTTGTTATTTAAATAAAAAGATATAATACCTCTGAAAACAATTTTAAATCACCTGAATTTTTTTTGCTGAAAGTACATGAAAAAAAATATAATATTTATAAATAATAATAATATACAGTCAGATCTCGATAGAAGGGAACTCGATAAAACGAATTTTTGTTATAATGAAGTTTTTCTAGTTTACCAATTCATTTATAATAAAATCAACGCAATAAGACGAAGTTTCCTATTTTTTTACTTTAATGTTTAAGACGATGATTTCATGCGGTTCCATATATAGCAAACTATAACTTGATAAGGCGAATAATATCGGTTTATTATTATCGAAGGAAACTTCGCTTTATTTTGTACAATTTTATAAATGATTTACAGTAGTAGTGGTTTTATATACGTATTGTTCCCTAAAATTAAAAATGAAAAATACACTGACGTTGAAAGATAAAAGAGAAATATGTGTTATAAAACAATCGAAACCTACTCCAACGAATAAAGACCTTGCTATTCGTTTTTAAAGTTCGTGAAAATATTGTTTGTGACATATTGAAATGAAAGTCGGAATATCTTGGTATTAATCCAGAAGATCCCAATTCACATAATAAACGTTTACGCAAAGGAAAATATTCAGGTCTAAAAGATGCATTGATTCTTTAGACAACAACACAAATGCTTAAAACAAATTTAACTATTACTGGTTCTCAATATAGTAGAAAAATTTGAAATTTCAACAAAGCAAATTTCTAGTATTTGTTCTATTAGAAGTAGCATTTTATTATATAAAAGTTCACTAGCGCGTCAACGTAGTATAGACGAATATGTAGACTTTGATGTATAACTTTTTTAAACCGAATTTTTTTTTTTTAACTTTGTCTTATCAAAGATTACTTGATAAAACGAATATTTGATAAAACGATGTTTTGAGCCCGACTGTATTATTTGAATTACGCGTAACATATTAATACACACAATTGATTTAAAATGGGTAAATTTTCTACTTTTATTAACAAAGGTTTATACATAATTTTTTTTGTACTCTCAAAAATGATGTAATGGAAATCTTAAATGATCAATTAAATATTTACAGAGTTCAATGATTATTGCATTCATTTTGATTCAGATAAAGATAACAACAGTAAGTATATATACTATATATACACATATTTATTTGTTTTTCGGTTTAATCAATCTTAACATATATATTTTTAGGTGAAAATTATCCACTGTGGCCTTGTGGTGATTGTGTTTTAAATTTGATAATGAACCAAGAGATTGGTTGCAAAGTGGATGGGCCTTTTATTCTTCTGAATCTAGATGATACAATAATTATAAATGCCAATTTTAATATAAAGAAATGCTTCAATGCAAAGAATGCAGTGCCCAAGTTAGACAAAAAATGAAAGACAACAAAAAAAAAAATAGAAGGGCAGATTGGTAAAGGCTGCCCATTAAATAATAGCAATGGTATTTAAAGCTAATTAAATTTGGTTGATCATAGCTGCATTTAATTTAATTTCTTGTGTGTGTATGCTGATTGTAAATCTACTTTATTGTTGATTCAAGTTATACTAGTGCCAAACGACAACAATAAATGTAATATTTATTATTTTATCATTGTCAAAAAATGTCATTGATTTTATTCATGATCAGATTGGTAAAAATCGCCACAAAACTAATGAAACAGTCTCTGGCAAGGTTGTGTTTCAGCTAAATGAGAGAATTCAGTTATTTAGAATTCAAGATGTTTTATAATTGAAGGTTGTGTATATTTGTTCGTGTGATCTTTTTTTTTTTTTTGATGCCAAAATTAAAGTAGGTTTTTTTGCTGCAAAGTAGTCAATCATTAATGATAATATTTCAATGAATTAATTATATCCTCACATATTATCTATTAGTTAGTAGTTCACCAAGCAATCAAACTTGACATACACATCAATGGTCTGAAGAATCCTAGCTGTTGGCAATGACATTTTCTGTAGAGGTTATGAAGTTGTGATGTTACGAAATAACCAATTGTCACCTTTCCAAGGGGCTTTGTTGCTTCTAGGAAACCATCTACTATACTAATTTGAATAATTGTAGTGTATATATATTCACGTGTGGACATGGTTATCACAATCATTGTCTACAAAGGAGCCAATCTAAACATTTGATATCTTGGACTATCTTGAAGTTGAAATCAAAAAAAAATGTCAACGCACTAAAAGAAAGTATAACAAAAAGATTAAATGAAAATGAATTTATTGAAAATATCGAAAATACAGTTGATGATGATCTAGGTAACATTGAATCAGCAATAAATGATGCAGCAACAATGGAAAATTTTATTAGGACATGCAAAAAAAAATTTTTTGGGTTGTAATTTTTTTTTTATTAAATAAAT